CAGCGAGAGGCGAGGTCCCTCCCAGGCTGCCGGCACCTCCTGCAGAGAGCGCTGCGGCTGCTCTGACCGAGAAGAGGCGGCGTCGACTTTCCCAGGACAATTGAAACGACCCAGCCCGGCCGGTGCGGCTCAGGGGCCGAGCATCGGCCTAGGAACCAGGAGGTCAGGGTTCGATTCCTAGTCGGGGTACAGGACCGGGTTGCAGGCTCGATCCCCAGTGTGGGGCATGCAGGAGGCAGCCGGTCCATGATTCTCTCTGGTCATTGATGTTTTTCTCTCTCTCCCTTCCTCTCTGAAATCAATAAAAATATTAAAGATAAATAAATAAATAAATAAAAATAAAACTCTGCCTAAACCCCAGCCCCTGGCTGCTGACCTGGAGCCGACGGCCCCAAGCAGGAGGCAGCAGGACCAGCTGCCCCAACGAGACCCGCCCTCCCCCAGAGCTCCCGGGGTGCTAGGGAGGGGACTCCCCCGGCTCTGAGCAGCCGGTCCTGGGGAGGCGACTCGGGGTGAAGCCACAGGCACGGTGCCACCGAGCCCGTAATCCCGCACGCGGCCCTGCTGTAAACACAGGTCTCTGAGCCTCTGCTCAGATGTCAGGCCCGTGAGCCCTTAATCGTGGCCAAGGCCCGTTTCTGGACCCCGTCCAACCCGCCCATGTCTTTCCAGAGCCGGGATCCAGGCTGGGCACACGGCGTGTTCCCTACGGAGCTGATCCCCAACGGGCGGGAGGCACACCTGCGGCCGGCAGGCCACGGCCACGGCTAACCCGGCCCCGGGGCAGCCCGTCTCCTGGGCCTTGGCGATCCCTGCTCACGGCCCCGGCCCTGACACCGACTTCCTGGAGACGTCACAGGTCTTATAAAATCATACGTTCACATGGATCAGCGCTTTCAGCACGAGACGCACACGGACCCCGGGCTCTGCCTTACAGAAACCCCGGTGCTGGGTCAACGCCGCCCCGCGGGGCGATGTCTGGCCTCGCACCTGAGGCTCCCGCCACACCTCACACACCAACACAGACCCACGCGCCGTGGCACTGCCCACGTGGTGCCCTTGGCCACCAGCAGGGGGGCTGCGTGGTCATGCGGGAGGGGGTTTCCCCCCAACAATCGTGGCTTCACGAGAAGCTATGCACAGTAACTCCCTGAAGGCGGGGAGCGGAGGCATGTGGACTTGGGGGGTGCTTTGTGGGCTTTTAGGGGTTTTGTTTTTGGTTGTTGTTAATTCACTCAAGGACATTTTCCCATTGATTTCTACAGAGTCCAGGGGAGGCAGGAGACAGAGAGACATCGATGCGAGAGACACATGGGTTGGCTGCCTCCTGTACGCACCCCGACCAGGGCCAGGGATCGAGCCTGCAGCCAAGGACGGGCCCTTGACCGGAATCGAACCCGGGACCCTTCAGTCTGCAGGCCAACGCTCTCCACTG